GGCTTCTCAGAGGGTCTGTGTTCATGATATGGAATGGAGATAGGGTAAGGGGCATGGCAGTAGATGAAGACCCAGTCACAGCAGCAGCTTCTGGCAGCCACCTGCCTGGTTGAGATGGAAACGCTGATTCCAGTTCCAGCCCCCAGACAGGCTAAGAATATCTCAGCCGAGCAACAGCTACCACCCCCGCCCTTCTTGATCTGCTCCTACATCTGTAGTGCTATCTTGGGCACAGTGAGGAGATGGAGTGGGGGTGATGCTTGGGGTGTAGGGCAAAGAGGAGCAGGCCAAATGGGGGCTTAGTGGAGGCAGGAGAGGTGAACTAAGGAAGAACTGCTGGGGAAGGCAGAGAGGATTGGACAGAGAGCTGTTTTCAGAGGGCAGCAAAAGGAGGTAAAGGCAGCTGGGGAGAGAAGATCAGGGATGAGGATGGAAGAGGGCTACATGAATACTAGAAGGGAGATGGGAGACATGACTTTCCCTAGCAACATGGAAGGAACAGAGCTTATGGCTGGGAAAAGGAGACTCTATCTCACCTCTGTCCTTTTCTGTCCCTTCATCCTGGGCCCTCCCCCACCACACCATAGGTCCCTTCTCTCCACCCCCAGGGCAGCACATTCCTCCTCCATGCTCCCAACTCTATTCCCTATTCTAAGGAACCTGTATTTGGGCTCCTTAATTAAGTCCTTCTAGCAAGGAGTCTGTTGTTAGGGAAAGAGGTGAGATTGGCAGCAGCGGGGTGGGGGGGGGGAGTTGCTTCCCAGAAGCTAATGGTCCCTCCTTTGTCACTTTCATTGCCTCTCTGCTCACCCTCTCTCTCCACTCTCCTCTTTTACCTAGAGAGGAGTTCTGCTCCCCTCTACCACCTCCCCAAAGCATACTACTCCCCACCCTAACTCTCCTGGCTAATATCCTCGGAGAGGGAGGGGGCTGTGATGTGCACATTCTCCCCCTTTGCACACCTCTGGACCTGAGAGCTTGAGGTGGGTGTGTTGGATTACAAGGGAGCTGGGGGCAGCCAGCAGGATGCAAGCATTCAGATGCCCAGGTTGGTTTAAGAACCTGTGTTGCCAGTTAGCATCTTTGTAGGGGCACCTTGGAGACATGGGGAAACAATGACCTTGGGGTGTGAGATCTCCAGCCTTGATGTTTACTGGGGAGATCCTAGACCTCAGACTTCTTGGTCCCCTCTCCTGTGCTTCCCTACCTTCCAGGGGTTCCTCTAGATCTTGGAAGGAAAGACCTAGGGAGATTTACATGGCTGAGAACCCAAGCTCCCCTCCCTTTTGTCTCCGAGGCTGAGCTGCGGAGTGCAGGCCTCACACGGATGCTGTGCACACAGACTGAGCCCGTCAGACAGAAACAGATTAAGGAGAACCAGACAGGGCTGGAGCTAAAGAGTGAAACAGATTCATAGGCCAGATTTGATTTGGAATCAGAGTCATAGAATTGGAAAAGGCTTCAGGAATCTTCTTTTAGAGCAATTCCTAAAATGTTATCTTATTCATTTTTTATCTGATAATAAAAGTAAAATATGTAGAATCCCTGCATTTCAATTTAAAGAAACAGAGGTTCAGAGAGCTGAAATGACTTTCCCAAGGTTGTACAACTGCCTAGGTGTGGACTAGAACTCCTGGCTCCTCTTCGTAGAGTATGTCTTCTCTGAGAGGGACATAGAAACAACCAAAGGGAGGAAGAGGATGGAGTGCATTGCCGGAGACGTTCCCTTAAAGATGGGGTTCACCTGCTCAAGTAGGTGAGTAAGGAGCTCTCCTAAGGTAAAATTGGTAGTGACCCTCATTATCAGGATCACAATCCTGCACAGGCTAAAAGCTCAGTCCCAGCCCTGCAGCTCTTGGTCTGGGTCTGTAGTTTGGACCTTGAAGAACCTTCGGGAATAACTAGTTATATGGACAGGGTGCTATTCTAGGTTGCCTGCAGAGTGATGGAGACAGACAGGGAGCCTGGTCTCAGGGATTTCTCATCTAAGGGAGTCTGACAGCCAGCACAGTCCCAGAGGAGCATACAGGAAATGGACAGATGAGAAGCAACATCCAGACACTAATATAAATAGAGAAATCACAGAATGCAGACCCCAAACATAACCCAGCAAGAAACAGGAACTCAGAGTGCTGGAATGACTTTCCCAAGGTGGTGAGAAAGTCAATGCTTTTCTGTGAAGCCCACCTGCTCCATAAAGTCTTCCTGGTTCTAATACTTTTATCCCCTGTGGCCTCCATCTTGTAGAAACATCCCCCTCACCCCTTAGTGCCTCCAGCTTTTTTGCAGTGGGGAGGTACTGGGGTTTGAACTCAAGTCCTCATGCTTGCTAGGCAGGGACTTTACCGCTTGAGCCATGATTCCAACTGTGTTGTTACTTTTTATGGCTCTGCTTTGATTAGTTTGTCCATTTGTCCTTAAATTTCTCTCCATATGCATCTTGCACATCTTCAGCTGGGGACTAGAGCCTAGCCCTTATCCAAGTTATAAAACAGTGTGAAAGACAGGAAAGTCTGAAGTCAGAGAGCGCATTAAAGGCTTCCTGGAGGAGGTGGGATTTCAAGAGCTTGACAGAAAGCAGGGTGGTTCTCTGAGGGAAGGTTCTGGCTGGAGGTAGGAGCTCAGAGATCCAGGAAGGAGATCAGAGCAGGAGGGAGAGGTGCATGTGAGGCAGGGTAAGGGGAGAGTGAGAAGGGGAGTGAGACCCTTGGAGGCATGTGATTTGGGAAGCCTGAAACAGGAGAATATTCTCTGTTCTGCCCAAGAGGATATCAAGGGTCATAGCTGGGCCTTGAGTATGGGGTACCAAAGTAGTGACATTCGTGGGTGCTGCAGAGAAGATTTTTGTCCTAAATGACACCAGCAATAGTCCTTACGTCAATGAGGGACTCCTGGGAGCAGAGCTGGGAGGGCCCACGTGCTATTCAGGTCCACGTGCCCAGTGTCTCTGCCAGGCGCAACTTAGTCTCTGTGGGACCTGTCCTTAACTACCGGTGAGCCAACTGTTCCTTGGGTGTCAGATAAAGGCTGACTCAGAAAGCTTTGTAGGAGGAAGTGGGGCCAATTACAGGAACTGCAAAGAGGGAACAATTCCCTGCAAATTCTGAGAGAATGAGGAGTTGGCCAGGTCAGCTTGACAACAAGAGAATAAAGATAAGCTCCAAGGGGGCAAGAGAGACCCTATTAAGAAAGTGCACATTGGGTACTGAGTTTGGGAGGAGGTACAAGTCTCTGGGTAAAAAGGTGGGAAAATCAAGACAGCCAGACTACTGGCCTCCAGGAGGGAAGACAGGGTAGAGGTGGGGGCGGGTGAGACTCCTAAGAAAACCTGGAGCTTCTGGTGGCTGAGCTGAGCCGAAAGGGATTTTGGAACAGTCTATCTGGAATTACACACACACACTCACACATACACACGTCCTGACAGCAGTGCATCCTTGTAGCTGTGTGGAGTCTTATGAGATGGAGGCAACTCTAGAGTCAATTCTGAGGCTTTTACCAAATTTAGGGCCACTTAAAAACTGGAAGAGTCCTATGTTGGACTGCTGGATAGCAGGCCAAGAGAGGGGTGCTTATTGATCAAGGGATCAATAAGGGTGAATAAGGCATACAGACCAGGCCCAGAACCAGTGGCTCTCAGAAGCATCAGGTAAGGCCAGAGAGTCTAAAATCCAGGACCAAAAACTTATGGGTACTGAGAAAGGAATGGACAGACCCAGGGAGAAATGGACAGGATCCAGCCTAGCAGCTTGCAGCTGGGTGTGGGGACAGATGGGACCTGAGTATCAGGAAGCATTTAATGATGAAAGCCACCTCAAGATGGACCTAGGTCTGGCCTGGAGATTGGGCCAACACTGATAGAACTCCTTCCACACAGGAAAGCCTGGTTCACTGACCAAGCGTGTGGAGACCAGCTGATTGAATTTCCAGCATTTTCCCAGGAACCGAGCATCCACTGCCCACTCAAATGTGAGCTCAGTGTGAAGACAAACAACCGAGAGGAGCTGTCCAGGCTCCAGAGCCCTAAAAGGCTTGACTGCAGAGAATCAGGCTGGCAAACAGAGGCATCAGGGGTATATCCTGAAGGTCTTACTCCCAGCCCTCCTTCCCATCTCTTGAAGCAAAAACACGGAGGAGGGAGCTTATGACCTGAAGGATTGCCAGCATCCTCTCACAGGTAAAGCAGTATATAATGTATCTGCTACTGCACCATGGCTCCCTACTCGGGAAGCAGAGGAAGGATAGAGTTCGAGGCCAGCCTGGGCTACACAGTAAGAGACCCTGTGTAAATCTACCAAAAAAAAAAAAAAAGTGCCTGCTATTCTTCCATAGTGGCGAGGGAAGGGGAGGGGGGAAAAAGAGAGTGTATGGGAAGAGGAAACTGACACTATGACCAGATTGGCACCTACTGCCACGTATGCACCCCCCCACCCCCAGCTAAACAAATTCAAAGAGGGGGGAGGGGTGTTCCCATGGCTTTTCTTACTACCTGCTACCGCGACCCAGTGCATCAAAACAAGCTGACACACAGCCCTAGAGGAAGAGGTAGAAGAGGAAATGAGAGCAGCCAATCCTCCTGTATCCGACTCGGCCTCTGAAAGGGATCCTCGAGCCACGACCATCTTCTCCCCTTTTACCTTTTTGGGTTTAAGGAAAGGACCCCAATCTCAGGGTGGTGGATAGGCGGGACTTGAAATTGGCATACGATATCCTATTGGTCAGAGGGGCTGCCGGTCATGACAGCAGCTTGCACGAGGATTGGCTGCGTGAGGCGGGGCGCGGCACAGAGAAAGAAGGGGCCCAAGGGGTGGGGCTGATGCTGCAGCTGGCGCAGCTCAGACTCAGAGCAGCAGCCGCCAGGCAATCCAGCAGCTCCTTTACCGGCTGGTGCGAGCGCCCGGGCCGGGGCTAGGCCCCCCACCGCCGGGTCCCCCGGGGCTGCAGCAGCAGCGGCGCTGCCCGCGGTTCCCGCTGGAGCCCGGGCGCCGGCCCCGCTCTGCAGGATGGGCACGGTGCTGTCGCTATCTCCTGCCTCCTCGGCCAAGGGCCGGAGGCCAGGCGGGCTGCCGGAGGAGAAGAAGAAGGCGCCGCCCGCGGGGGACGAGGCGCTGGGGGGCTACGGGGCGCCGCCAGCGGGCAAGGGCGGCAAAGGCGAGAGCCGACTCAAGAGGCCGTCGGTGCTCATCTCCGCGCTTACCTGGAAGCGTCTGGTGGCCGCGTCTGCTAAGAAGAAAAAAGGCAGCAAGAAGGTGACGCCCAAGCCATCATCCACCGGTCCTGACCCTCTGGTCCAGCAACGCAACCGCGAGAACCTTCTCCGCAAGGGTCGGGACCCCCCAGACGGCGGCGGCGCCGCTAAGCCCCTGGCTGTGCCAGTGCCCACGGTGCCCGCGGCGGCCGCCACCTGTGAGCCACCGTCGGGAGGCAGTGCTGCCGTCCCGCCGCCAGGCTCGGGCGGGGGAAAGCCGCCACCACCACCACCCCCAGCCCCGCAGGCTGCGCCTCCAGTGCCTGGCGGCTCGCCGCGGCGGGTCATCGTGCAAGCGTCCACCGGCGAGCTGCTGCGCTGCCTGGGCGACTTCGTGTGCCGCGCTGCTACCGCCTCAAGGAGCTGAGCCCCGGCGAGCTGGTGGGCTGGTTCCGCGGCGTGGACCGCTCGCTGCTGCTGCAGGGCTGGCAAGACCAGGCCTTCATTACGCCCGCCAACCTGGTGTTCGTGTACCTGCTGTGCCGAGAGTCGCTGCGCGGGGACGAGCTGGCGTCGGCCGCTGAGCTGCAGGCCGCCTTCCTCACCTGCCTCTACCTCGCCTACTCCTACATGGGCAACGAGATCTCCTACCCTCTCAAGCCCTTCCTCGTAGAGCCCGACAAGGAGCGCTTCTGGCAGCGTTGTCTGCGCCTCATCCAGCGGCTCAGCCCGCAGATGCTACGGCTCAACGCCGACCCCCACTTCTTCACGCAAGTCTTTCAAGACCTCAAGAACGAGGGCGAGGTCGCCGCGGGCGCCGGGGGTCCACCGAGCGGGGGCGCGTCCACCGCCTCCTCCTCGGCCGCCAGGGACAGCTGCGCGGCCGGAGCCAAGCACTGGACTATGAACTTGGACCGCTAGGGATACCCAGGGGCCGCGCCCGCCCCCGCCTCCGTCCCCGACACACACCCGGTACCCCCGGGACCATCAAGCCACCGCCGCTGTTACCGCCGCTCCGCGCCCGGGCTGGGCCGAGGAGGAGCCGCCCCTGCCCTTCAGGGGAAGGTGGAGGCTAGGACACTAGAGGCCACGATGTCTGGATTTGCTGGGCTGGGCTGGGGATGGGGGATGAGCGTGGGAAGGGCACTCCCAACTGCACCCTTTCCGTCTGTCTGCGCCCCCATCTCTGTTTCTGCCCGGGTCTTCCCCTTCCCTGCTGTGCGTGTCTGTAAGTCCATCTCCCCTGGGTTTTGTGCTTTTCCTCGCCTCTTTTCTATATCTTCATCTTTCCTCCTATCTGCATTTCCATTTCTCGCTCTTTGCCTTGCCACTGACCGTTCCTGGGGTGTGTGTTTCCATCTCCACTTGACCCCGAGCTTGATTGCACACCATTGGACACGTTTGTCCTCCTGCACCTGTGTCCCCATCTTCCCTTCTTGTTCTCTTTCCCTTGCTCCATCACATGTCACCATCCTCCCTCCTGCCTGCCTTCCCCCTCTGCTTGTGTCGTCCTAAATTTCTTCCCTGACTGAGACCCCTTACCCCACACCCCAGATTACAGGGACCGTTAGTTTTTAATTTGGATGTACTGAGATGGGATGAGAAACTGCAGTCCAGGCGCCCAGACAACCACCAGGATGGTCCCTCACCCCACCCCCACAGCCTCTCCCCACCTTTTCCAACGTGTTGCATGCCGGGAGTTGGGGGGGGAAGGGTTGCTGGCTTCATTCAGGAGGCTGAGATTTTGGGGCAAAATCAACCTGGTAGATCACCCCAGCAGCCACGCCTCTGTGGGCTGGTGGGAAGAGAAAGAAAACTCTTCTTATTTTGGGGGCGGGGCCTCCCTCTTCCTTATCTTTAGATTTCTTATTATCCCTCCTCCCCCCCTAATTTATTTCGCTGTTTCCGGAGGGAGGGGGTGGGGGGAAGGGTGGGCCGGGAACTGTCCGAGGTGCTGAGCTGGGGCGGGACCGGAGTCCTCCCAGGAGAGTACCAGGGACTGGGTTGGGCCTGGGTCCGTATCCAAGGTGCCAATGATGCGGGCCGACGGCGCGGGCCGCACTGTCTGTCCGTCTGTCTCGGAAAGAACTATAAAGCGCTGGAAGCGCCTGCAGATGGCTTTTCGCCGGCCTTTCTTTGGGCCCCGGAGGGAGGGAATGGGAACGAGTGAAACTATTAGGGGTAAGGCAGGAAGGCAAGAAATAGGATTTACTGGGGAAAGGTCAAGTCTCCACAAGAGCTACCTGCCCCCGTTGGCTTTCATTTTACAGAGAATAAAGTGAGGTAGCCAAGGGTTGAGACTGAATCCACGTCCCACCCCAGCCTCCATCTTGTGTGACCTAGCTCCTTATTAAAGTCCAGGCCACTTAAGGACGAGTCGTAAGGACAGAAGAAGTCATCCCCCTCTTCTGAGCTGATGCGTTCAGGCAGAACCAGCTAGTCGCTATCGCTGTTTTTCTGTCTGCCCCACCCGCCCCCATTCTCCCCGCCATATATCAGGCTGAGTCTAGGTCAGGCCTGACCAAGTCTGTGCTCACCACTCTCAGGTGGAGCCTGACTACCACACTCAGCCCCTCGCACACAGTCCCCAACCATCACCATACTGGGCTGCTTCGAGGCTGCTTTGGTCACACACCCATACAAGGTAGTAGTGGAGGCCCTTTCCTTTATGAGACGCAGATTCTATACTTTATTGCAAGGAAGGCGCAGAAATAAAAAGAGGAGATGAAAGCTATTCTCCGGAGTTGAAGCAATAGGAAAGATAAGCTATTTGGCTTAAGATCCCTGCTCGGTCCCCCATTGCCTTCTTAGCTACGTGGCTAAGCACCCCGGTTCGCTATTCCATTGGTTAAAGGAGGCCTGGCTCCAGACAGAGGGCTTGCAGCTCTCCACCACGACCACGCGGATCCAGAGAGAGGAACAGGAGTGGCTGGCAATGACAAGGCCGCAAGTTCGCTCTCCGTGGTGCTGAAAGGCTTTTTCGCTGGGGCGGGGGGCGGGGGGGAGCTTGTACCGGCTGAACAGTTGGGGAGCTCGGCCTCAACTAGGTCTTCTGGATAATTTAGGAATAGGATGTGAGCTATTCTGGTGGTGAGTTACAGAAGTCTGCACCGAGAACCCAGGAATGTCGCCCCCCCAGTTGTCTTACTGAGAGGACAGGACTCTTCTTTCACCCTGCTGGGTCCCGAGCCCAAGCACCCGGCCTGAAGCCGGAAATCCTCAGTCCAGATTTGTGAATCAAGTTCCCGGGGCTGCGGGGGAAGGAGGAGGGGAGGGGGAGAGCTGGCGGAAGGGAAGGCGGGAGCAGCCGCCCATTGGCTGGATTTTGGCGCAGTCAGCGCGGTGCCGTCATCTTTCAGGGTTTGGGAGGAGGGAGGGAGGGAGGAACACTTGGGTCACTCAGCGGCTGTCGCCATAGTAACCAGACTGAGCAGGCGGGGCCGCTCTCCATTCTCACCTCTGGCAAGGGAAACAATCCTGGTTTTCCTTATTTGGAACTAATTAGTGAGACTACTACTTGACTGGAATTTCTGAATTAGCGGAGTTTTAAAGGGGGTGAGAAAGAGTCTCAAGGGCCTATGAAGATGTCCAAACAACCTTTGGGAGGACACTGGATACTTCCCCTGAACCCATAGACCCTGTACCTTCGCTTTTCTACATGCGCGCGTGCACACACACACACATGTAGACACACATGCACACGCATGCGCGTGTTTCCAGGCACCTGTGATCTGGCACTGGAGACCCAAAATAGGAAACAAACAAACAAACAAAACAAAAAAACGAGCTCAGCGAGTGCTGTCAATTAAGTCTCACTTTCCTTGCCATGCCCTCAAACCCGAGACGCTGCTATAATCGGATTAGCAGGGAGGTACTGGAGGAGGATAAACGGAAATAACAAGGAAGAATTAGCCTCCTGGATCCATCTTGGTCAGAGTCCTGTTTTCTCTGGGAGAAGGGCAGAGGGAGGTTCAGAACATTCTTCTGAGAAGGCAAAGGGAGAAAAGAGTTAAATGCAGAAAAAACTAAGTGCCTTCTCTTTACCGCCCAGAGGGAAACTGAGTCCAGGCTGCTGGTGGTATGGGGAAGAACTCTAGATAGAGCCCAACAGGGTCAGGGGTGGACTGAGGAAAGAATGGAGATGAAGAACAGGAAGACAAAAATCCTGCTGGAGCCATGACTCAGCACTTCCTAGGCAAACAGCTGGGCCTCTCTTCCAGCACAGGGACAGCAAAGAATGGAGGGGTGCAGGAGAGCAACTAGATAAGGATAACAAGTGTTCTAATCCTTTCCATGATACATGCTTTGACACACTACAACCCAGAAGCACGTACAAATGCATTTATACTGATGAGGACTCATTCAGTCGTAATATACACATATTTCTGCTCCTCCCCTTCCTGGAGGAGAGGACATTCTGTCCTGAAAGCTCTGCTTGCCTGTCCCTAGAATCCTTGGTACTTATTGGACTTTAAAGGGGAAATGCAAAAAACTCTCAGGCATGGGGTGGGGATGTCATGGTAACTGCTCTGCTGGCAGAGTGCCCCAGCAACCAGAGCATCTGGTAGTATCCGAGAGGATGTCCTATGGCTTCCGCACACTGGAACCCTGCTTCAGGCATCCAGATGCACACCTCTGGAAGACTTCTACACAGAACCTGCCAAAGCTGCAGCCCCTCCAGTCAGGGATAGCTGGAAGCCAGGTATAGGGCCTGACCTTCTTCATATATATGACAGGTAACATTTGCTGTGAGCAGCCTCAAGATAGCAGTGATTGATAACTTCAAGATTTTTAAGACCGTGACCTTCTCTCAGCCCCTTACCACACAACATACAAAGGAAGTTAGCTATACCCACACAGACTAGGAGTACAGATGACAGATAGAAAAACTGTTTAGTTCAGTGTGATGAAAGATCAGATACCAGATAGATAAACTGCAGGCTCAATCTCAGGTCTCAAATTTAATACATCATGAAATTTTAGAGGCTCTACTGTACTTAGAAGGCTAGCTGGCTCACTTCCCACCTCATCCCCTTTTATTTTTACTTATTTATTTTTACTCCATAGTTAGGTTAAACCTCTTAGAGGATTTTATTTATTTATTTATTGTGGTACTGAGGTTTGAACTCAGGGCCTACACCACTTCACCAGCCCTTTTTTATGTTGTGTATTTTCGAGATAGAATCTCTCGAACTATTTGCCTGGGCTGGCTTCAAATCATGATCATTCTGATCTCTGCCTCCTGAGTAGCTAAGATTACGGGTGTGAACCACCAGTGCCTGGCTATTTATTTATTTATTTTGGTGGTAATGGAGTTTGAACTCAGGGCCTCACACTTGCTATGTGAGTGCTCTATCATTTGAGCCACTCCACCAGCCCCTTTTAGGGGATTTTTTAAATCCCCAATCCAGTTTAAAATTTCATAAAGGCCTCTCCCTCTTCTATTGTCTCTTTAGCAATTAGCAGCTCTCCAGGTCACTTTTTGGCTTAGAAATGCTGTCCACAATAATTATCCTCCTCTCTTAAGGCTTTTCCCCCATTTCTTTACACTGTTTAGGTTCCTGTAGTTATTATTTAGCTTTAGGCTCATAAGTCTCAAAAGTAGTCTCTCTTTGTATATTTTTACATAAAACCTTAAAAAAAGCAAGGTGATGATGAACAATATAAATAGGGAAATAGGAAATAAATATTTTTAACAGTTTGTTGTCTTTTTTATTTATTTGTTTGTTTGGTTTTTTTGGTGACACTGGGGTTTGTACTCAAAGCCTCATGCTTGCTAAGCAGGCGCTCTATCACTTGAGCCACTCCACTAGCCCGGAATAAGTATTTTCAACATTTATAAACCTTCTACATACTACTCCATAAAAACATTACAGAGTGCCTCCCTAGCAAGTGTGAGACCCTGAGTTCAAATTCCAATACCACCAAAAAAAAAATTAGGCAGCACAATAGGGCTGCTTTCCTATAATCCTAGCTACTCAAGAGGCTGAGGTAGGAAAACCAATTGAGCCTATAAGTTCAAGACCAGCTTGTGAGTGAGACCCCATCTCAAATACAAACAAATTTATATACTATCTCAGAAAAACATACAATACCAAGAAAAGCCTATGAAAAAGACAAAATGGTAGATAGCCTGCCCTATCAGATATTTAAATGTATTATAGAGCTAAAGTAGCTAAAATATAGGCACTGATACAGGAATAGACATATTAGTACAACAGAAAAGATAAGGCAAAGCTAAATTCTGACATACACAGGAAGTTGAGTTAGGATAAAGGCACCATTTAAAGTTAATTGGGAAAAAATAGATTAG